CAATTATTATTTTCTAGAATTTTGAACTAAAATTCTTCTTTAAATCAATTATAATTTTTGAAAAAGATCTTTGAGAATTTTCAAATTCATTTGTGAACAATTCAATTTTACGAAATTTCATTGATTATTCGGAAATTCTTCAATTAAATATTTAAAAAATAAAAACTTGAAATAATTTCAAAAAAAATTCAATAAAACTTTTTCAAAAAAACTAATTAAATGTTTTCTTAAAATTGAATTTTCATATAAAGAATTTTATCAACAAATTTTTAAATAATTGAATTTTTTTGACGAATTTTAATAAATTTTTCAAGAATTAAATTTTTTGAGGAATTCGATTAAAATTGTATTAAAAATAATTGAAATTCTACGATAAAAAAATAATAATCCACTTAAAAAAAATTTATACTTAAAATTTTAAACAATTAAAAGAATAGAAAGAAAAAAGAAAAGAAATAAAAAATTAATTAAAAAGTAAAAACAAAATAATTGAAAATAAAATGTTGGAGAGAAATAAAATTTTAATAAATAAAGATAAATAAATAAGTATAGGAATAAAATTTTAATAAAGATTTTTCGAAAAATATTAATGAACTCCGGACAATAACATTTGTTATTCCATACCATGCCTCGTTTTTCGTCCAGAGGGCACGGTAATATAAAAATTTACTAAATTCCGCACGCACATCAAGTCTCATATTCATTAATATTTTATTTTCTTAGCTTCCTTCTTTTTGGATCGTTCTCTAAGAAATATACATTAAAATTTATTATTCTCTTCCCTCAACACTTTATTTAATTTTTTAAAACCAAACCTACATGAATTTTATTAAAAAATTATATTATACACGTCAACTTACTCAGTTTCACAAATTTTTTATTTCTAGGTGTTTTATCTTTATTTTCTTTTAAATAGAGATCGAGAGAAATTACTAAATCATAAATAAATACATATCACTTATTATTTTTTTAGTTTATTTCAGTTTATTTTTTAATTTAAGAAACAAATCTTTTTTTAATTAACACTTCTTTATTTATTTCCTGCGACTAAAACATTACTATGTAGTATATTAAATTATATATTTATATTATAAATATAAATCTATATTTTTTTAAAATAAAAAAAAGGGACTTGAATATTGATATGTTTATAGTGCAATAATTATTTTCGTATGTACATAAAGAATAATAGAAATAAAGATATAAATAAAAAAAAATATTCTAAATAAAGAATAGAGACATGAATGAATATAAATATAAAAAGAGAAATATAAAATATAATTTCCGACCTTGATGAATTTATAATAAACCGAGGGATTTTTTTTACATTCAACTTTCACTCCTGACAGACTTTAGCAGTAATAAAATTTATAGACAAAAAGTTGCGTCGACTAATTATATGAATTTATTTTAATAATAAATAACACTTCAATAAATAATTTAATTTAATTTAATTCAATTCAATTTTATTTTTATTTTATTCATTTTATTTATTTTATTTATTTATGGGGCAATTCAAAAAATACGTAACGCTTTCAGGGGGGCAGAATTTCCAAAAATAATTACTAAATTAATTAGTACAATTTTTCTCACTAAAGTTTAAAGGAAAAATTTTAAATGAAGCAAAAAAATAAAAAAAAACTTTGTAAAAAAAAGAAAAGAAACTACTTTGTGTCTTGTCTACCCTTTCACATTTCAATACAGATACTACTGACGCGTGAGTTCCGGTAAACAAATTAAAACTTCGTTTTCCTTTCTCATCTACTTCCCTCGCGGATCGAATTTAACTTTGCGAAATCAACAACCATTTTTCATCGAGCGAAAACAAAACCGACAAAAAAAAATGCCAAACAAATTCTTGTTAACGAAACAAAAAATATTTATATCGACACTCGAGCAAAATTTAATTCATCAAAGTAAAAAAAAATAATAATAATGAAATAATAAAATAACATAAAAAATAATAATAATAATAATAAAAATATTAATAATAATAATAATAATAATAATACCGTAAGTGAGGCTAAATTCGCTCAATTTTTCAATTCTTTTTTAAATAACTTCGGGAAACGATGAAAATAAACATTGGCACTGAAAATATATAATCTTTAACCCTTTATCTTTCCTATTACTGCATAAAGAAATTGAAATATGTTGCAGAAAATTATTTATAAGCCGTTTTTTTGTGAGCGAATTTACTTTTAAATGATGGGTAAATTCGCTCACCATTATTATTCTGGCAAAATATATTATAATCTGCAAAAATGAAACTAAATATTCTTTAGAATCAATAAAGAAAAAAATTAAGAACAATATTCAAAGTTATTGGAATAAATATTTAATATTGTTTTATCAATAAGTAATTAGATTCAATCATTCAATCAAACGTACTCATAACCATAAAAAAACAAGGTTAAGTTTGACAGTTTAGTGCTTAAACCGTTTTAAATCGTTTAATTTTCAGTTATAAGAGTACTATTATTTCAAAAAATCGAATTATAAATTAAAGTAATTAACATACTTAAAATATCCAGGCCCAAACATCTTTTTTGTAGACTTATTTCCTGAGCGAATTTACACAACAAATTTGAATTTTTTTTTTTTAATTGATTTTTTGCAGAATCTGTTTATTGCTTTAATTTTTGTGCTTTATGAATATCATGTTGGAGATACAGGAAATGTAATGTTCAGAAGTATTCAACTTAAAAATTTTGAAGTAAAGCTTTATTTCCTACTTTTTCATACTACTTGTTCAATATGAAAATTATTCACTTGTGTTTTAAATATAATTTCTACTGAAAGTTACCAATGAATTTGCTGCAAATAAATTTTAAATTAAAGTTTACCATTTATATTAACCAAAACAATTGTAAATCTTAAATATTTCTGTCTAAAAAGTATGTTAATCGAATTTTAAAAAATAGACATCGGATGAGCGAATTTACCCTACATGAGCGAATTTAGCCTCACTTACGGTACCTAATATAATATACAAATATAATATACAACAATTTAATAATAAAAAATGATAAATAATTTTTATGAATTTCCTCTCTACTTCTCATTTATTTTACTCATAAAAGTTAATTAATTATATCAGGAAAAATTTTTTACCACATTTACGAAATTTCACTTATTTCAAGAATTTTAATTATAAAAGAGACAATATATTTTTCTATATAATTAGCAGAAGACTATTCTTCTTCGTTTTATAAAAATACTTTATAAAAATTCCTGGCAAGAAAAATTTTTCACACATTTTCACAAAAAAATATTTCTAGCAGAAACAAAAAAAAAAGAAAAAATAACGCAATATGGAATGAAACATGAAAGAATAAAGGAACGAAAAAAAAAGAAAAAAAAATGAAAGCTCTAGTTGTTGACAAGAAAATAATTGAAATTCGTGTCGACTTTCTAAATGAAATGAGGAAAAAAAAATGTCAAAAAAAAAATAATTATATCAGAGAGTTTCAATTAGACCATTTGAAAGATATGTACATTCATATTTAGACTTGAAATATTTCACAAAAATATTTATACTCGAAATATTTTAGGAAATATGATAAATGTAAAATATAAAATAAGTAAAGATAGTAGAAATAAAAATTATTTTATTTAAAAAGAATTTTATAAAATTTATTATTTAAAAAAGAATTTTTTAATGTTTATTATTTAAAAAAGAATTTATTTAATTCAATTATAAATTAATCGTTGATTTTAAATCATAAGAAATTCACTTTTAAATTCGAAACAAACGTGAAATTTTTCAACGTCTCTTTCAGTTTAAATTTTCTTCATGTTTTGAACGTTCAAATATTTTTTTACTTCTTTTAATTTTTACTTTTTTGTTCAGAAATAATTTTAAAAAAAAAATTAATTCTCAACTAATTAAATATTAAATTTTAATTATTTTCCATTTTTTTGACAGAGTTAATTTTGAAAATATTTAAGCAGAAGGAAAATTTTCTTTATTTGAGTTCCGAACTTTAGGAAAATTAAATTAAACGAAAACAGAATGTATCTTTGAATTAAATGTATTATTTCAAGCAAATAATATTTTCACATTAAAGCAGTAAATATTTTTTATATAATACGATTGTAAACTGACTTTAATTACTTTTTACTTTCATTTTTCCAGATTTTTATCTTTACAAAATTAATTTTTATAAATTATTTATTTTTAGTTTCATTTTTATTTATACTTTCACTTTGATAGATTTTCGTTTTTACTTTCATTTTCGTTTTCACTTTGCCCAATTTAATTCAAATTAATTTAATTAAAATAAACTTTGATAGACTTTCGTTTTCACTTTGACAAATTTAATTCAAATAAACTTCGATAGATTTTCGTTTTCACTTTCATTTTCGTTTTCACTTTGCCAAATTTAATTTAAATTAATTTAATTAAAATAAAAGTGATAGTGAAAATAAGGGAAAAGTAAAAATGAAAGTGAGAGCAAAAAAGCAAGAAAGTAAAAAATAAAAGTGAGAGTGAAAGTAAAAGAGAAAGTAAAAATGAAAGAGAAAGTTAAAATGAAAGTCAGAGTATAAAAATAAAATTATCTAATCGACCCCTAGTTCAATAAAAAAATATTCGATCCTAACTTTCGAATTGAGAGGAAAATCGAAACCACAGGTCAAAAATCAAACACGACCTTAAAATTAAGGTCAAAAAGTCTAAATGTCAAAAATTTATTCCACTAAAAAGCAAAACTAAGTAATTTTTTTATTTTTAATAAATTCCTGTCAAAAAGAGAGCATAACTTCAAAAATCAGGTCAAGAGGGGGAAAATAACATTCCACTTTAGGTCAAAGGTGATTTTAAAAGTTGTTTCGAAAGTTATTTTATGAATGGAGAAATAAAAATACTTCCTCTATATGTGAAAGCAATATAATAAAATCAATATAGATACTGAATGAAGAGGATAAAATAGAAAAAAAAAAATTTTTTTCATTTCATCCAATTTCAAAAAAGAAAATATTAATTTTCTGAAACTTACGGTTTTGTAGAACATACAAGCTTGTCTGTCCTCGTCCTCTCCCGTTGGACAGTCTATGAAACCGTCACAAAGTACATGATCATCGATACATCGATATCTTCCCATTCGATCTGGCGTTGGACACGCGAATCGCTCCATTCCGTCCTCAGATGCTGGACATTCTAAAATTATAATAAAATTCATGCGTGAATCAATTTTTATTTCATGATAAAAATATTTAAAATGTATTTTAAAACATTTTTTTATTAAAAAAAATTTTTTAATTTTTAAAAATTTGTACATTTAAAATGTTTTTACTCTCTAAGTTTGAATTAGTAAAAAAATTATTATTTATTTGTTAGTAGATTTATTAAAATTTACTTTAAACATTTATTTTAAACATTTTTAATATTCAAATATTTAGAGAGTAAAAAATTTTTTTTTTTAATTTCTTCTTCGATTTCGTTTTTTAATTTAATTTTACCAATTATACCACCAATTACGAAATGTAAGAAAAATTTAAAATCACAATATTGTGATTTTTTTCTTTTACAATTATTATTTAATTCTTAAAAATCAGATTTACCTTTTAATCAGTGAAATGACAATTTTCTTCCTTTATTTTCTTTCTTTTTTTTTTTTGCAAATTTTCGTCTTTGAAAATTCGGATCTCTTATTGTAAGAAACAAAGAGAAAAATTAAACTGCCTTGTTAATAAAATACTTTCATTGGTTAATTTTAGTTAAATAAAAAAAATTCGATTTTGGCCTCAAATAAAAAAAACAAGTTTTTTACAAAAAAATATTTTCTACTCGATTTAAGGACTTTGAGTCAGTCTCAGCTCTCAGGATTTTGAAATTAATTTTTTTAATTAATTAATTAATTTTCTTATATTTTCTGAAAGTGGTATATATAAAAAATATTCCCTGGAAATTTCAAGTAATTTTCTAAAGAAAAACTCATTTAAAATGTTCATTTTTTCTTGCCGCTATGACTGACCCCAATCCCTTAAAGAAATTTTTTGTTCCCTCAACAAAACTACCATATTTTATAATACAAATAAAAAAAATATTTAAGTAATAATACAAATATTATAAAATAATACAAAATTACTTTATTTATTTATGAATTTATTTATTTATTAATTAATTAATTTATTTATAAACGGGATTTTATTTACTTAATAATAAATAAAAAGCATTGGAAACAATTTAATTCGAAATAGTTTAAAGATAATGATGATGAACTTTTGCGCTTCGTTATAAGTAATGTCAAAAGGTAATGGTGTAATAATTCTATTCTTTTAAATTAATAACCTCAGGCGGATTATAAAGCAAACAAGGTTGAGTCGCGCTAATTAAATTCGTCGTCGAGCGTTTTATTTCAGCACTCACCTTAAAAGCAAAAGTGGAACCGTAAAACAGAAAAAAGAATGACGATGGGTCGCTCAAAAGGAACAAAAAAAATTGCCTCTCCCTTCTTTAAACTGCGAATGTAAAAATCAAGAAAGAAAAAGAAAAAAAAACAAAATCTTTTCCAGTATTTTACTTAAAATCATCTTTTTTACAATCTTCTTTTTTATTATTATTATTATTTTTAAAAAAAACACAAAAGAGAATAAAAATACCTTTTTTTTATAAATTCTTTTGAAATTTTGAAATAATTGTAAAATATTTTTCTCTTGAAATCAACGGAAAGAACAAGTACATATTTTTCAGCGCATAGCTATTTATTTCCCCTTGGGGGAAAAAAAAGACGTTTCTTTTTCTCTTTCAATTTCAAACTATGTATATACCTTTTTGACTCGCAAATAATTGTTTAACCTTTCCACCAAAATGAGAAGGTAATTATATTTCCATTTACTAAAACCGGTAATTAATGAAAGCTTTCATTGCTTAATAAATCAAATATGTTTATTAAAGTGCAAACATTTTCTAATTGACACAACAGAAACTTGCTGTAGAAAATTAACTAAGAAAAAATTAGATAAATTAAATAAATTAAATAAATTAACTAAGAATATTACTTTTACTCTAAAATTATTGTTTTGTAAAAAAAAAAATTAATTCTTAAAAAATCACTGCAAAAAACCGTTTTTTTTTATTTAGACGAACATTTTTTTTATACAATTTAGTCCAAATATTTTCTCCTTTCAATTCAAATAATTGTTTATAATTTTATTATTTTTTACACTCAACTTAAAATACTTGTTATTAATTTTTATTTAATTATTAGCGTGTGGATATAAAACTTAATTAACAAATAAACAAATTTTGAAAAAATATAATTATCAAAATGAAGCAAATTTGAAAAAAGCATTATTGTAAAATTCACGTTCGTTGTTTTACTCTAATTAACTATAATTTAAATAACAAACAAAAGAATTTTTTCCAAACAAAAAAGAAGCCACGTTTCTAAAAATGTAATAAATGGAACAATTTTGAAAAAACTGATTATTATGTAAAACGCATATTTTTCGCTACAGTTCCTACTTTCTATTAATATAAAAATTAATTAAGCCAACAAAAGAATTATTTTCAAATAATAAACAAAATTTCAAAGAATATAAAACGAAAATATAAACAAGTTTTTTTAACATGAAATTTATATTTACAATTTTTTTTTTCCAAAAATAAATACGCAATAATGGCGCTAATTTTTAATGAACAAAAGAGAAAAATAGAAATGGAAAAATTGAAGCAATTTGCATATTTCCAAAAAAAAAAATTCACTTGATTTTATGCACTTGTTACTAAATATGAATAGTATCGATTTCGACAAACAAGTTCATCCGCAACGCGAATTCAACAAACATGCACTAATTGCAGAATATTTCCCAGCAATATCAAGGTTTAATTTTTGGTTGATGGGCAAGTTGAACTTTATAGAATCCAATTACAACGAATGATGTGTAAATAGAGTGAAGGAGAATCTGTACAACCAATACACCTATTTAATGTATTGCGTTTATATAATCAACAGGTGGTATAAAAGGATTTTATGTTTCAGTTATAAAGCCATCTATATATGTTACAAATTTTTAAAGTTAAACAGACATTTAGTTTCAAACAAAAAGAGAAAAAAAATAATAATAATATCATCACCGCAACAAGTTGACCTTGCTTTAGGCAAAAAAAAAGGGTCGGAGAACATTCTTACAATCGTATCCAGAAAAAAAGATCTAAAAGGGTCTTTTTATTATTCCATCAAGATTTTAATTCAAACCTTTCTCTCTTTTTCTCTCTCTTTCTCCCTTTTGCTTCCTTTTCTCTCTCCCTTTCTAAAAATTGAAATTTTTCACTCGAAACCAATTTTTTTTTAGATTCAATTAATTTTATCACAGTTTTTCTAAGGATATCAAATTGAGATATCAAATCAAAATTGTTCGCAACACTTTTGATTCGTTTTTTGTCTCAATTTGACATCCTTAGAAAAAAACTGCGACTTTAAGAATAAAATACATAGGAAATATTTTATTAAATAGGCGCCAAGATTAGATTAATTTTTTTAATTTACTATTTCTTAATCAATTCTTTTTTCCAGTAGTAGAAGTATTTTTGAGTCAGACTGTACATTCTCATTTATTTTTTTACTCCTTTTTGAATTATATTTTATTATTTCCTTGACCAATACTATTTTTCAGTAGTAGAAGTAATATTTAGTCAGACATACACTTCGAGATTTTTGCAAATTGTCTCTGTCTAAGTAGTAAAGATCAATATATGAGTCAGACAAACGTTCTTCGACTTTGAGTTAATTAATATTTTTTCCAACTAAGAAATATTCTCTTGATAGAAGCACTCAAAGTCGAAAAACGTTCGTCTGACTCTTATAATTGATCTTTACTACTTACACACAAAATTGTTGCAAAAAATCGAAATTGTCTGACTCAATATTATTTCTACTACTGAAAGGAACATTTGCCGAGATTTAACGACTGACTGTAATTGACCTTTACTACTGTGATTAAAATTTGGAGAATTAGAGGCAAGTCTGACTAAAATGCTTCATTACTACTCATTTTATTAGTAGAAAAAAAGTCTGACTAAAATAATCTGTTACTACTCAGAGAAATATTTCAAGTCAAAGAACGTTTGTCTGACTCATATATTGATCTTTACTATACTTAGACAGAGAATTGGCAAAACGTTGAAAGTATATGTCTGACTCAATATTATTTCTACTACTGAAAAATAGTATTGGTCAAGAAAATGGTAAAATAAAATAAAAAATATTAAGAAAAACAAATAAAAATAGTAGTTGAAAAACGTACGTCTGACCGTATATTGACCTCGACTACTTGCACTATTATAATAATAATATAATAAAAAACTACTTGCACTCAAATTTAAAAAAAAAAATCAAAAATGTATGTCTGACTTAGTATTGTTTCTACTACTTGCAGAAAAAATACCTAAAATTAAAGTAAAAATATTCTGTCTGACTGTAACTGTCTTTTACTACTGACAATCGTGGTAACAAGAATTAAAAAAGTCTGACTATAAAGTTATATTACTACTGCTAACGTTCATAAACAAATATATGATATTTGTCATATATACATGACACATATCATATTTTGTCTGACCAATACTGACTGTAACTACTTAAACACAAATTCTCATAAGTCAGAAAACTAACGTCTGACTCATACTTTCCAGAACTACTGAATTTAAAATATTGCATACAGATTTAAACTACAAAAATTGAAACTGCTTTAAATAATCTGTCTGACTAGAAATTTCCTTTACTACTAAAACGAAAAATCAACGAAATTAACGATAAATTCATCAAGACGAAGTGTTACTAGCAAAAATAAATTATAAACAGGTCGAAAATTATGACTAATTCAAAATAACTTGTACTACTGAAAAAATTCTAAATTGTTAAAAAAAAATATAAATTTTACTAGAATTTACATAGTTTTGTCTGACATAAAACAGTTTTTTTTTATAACTAAAACGAAATTTCAATGAAATCGTAAATTATCTTGTCTGAGACAGGTTGACCTTTTACTACTTAGAAAAATCTTGTATAAAAATATTGAAAGATGTCTGACATAAACTTGCTTGTACTACTGCTTACTAATTTTTTATTTTTCTAACTTAATCTCTATTTTTTAATACATGAATTTAAAAAAAAAAAATTTGATTTAATATTATAACAATTTAACAGTTATTCT